AGACCATTCATTTTGTGAATTTCAAGATCATAGCCTTTATAAACTCAAAATCATTTTTTCCTTTTTTAACATTGTTCATCTAATGATAATAAAGTCATCCAAAAAAATTGGAAATGAAAAAAATCCTTCTAAGGCTTAGGTCTAAGCATCTCACCAAAATGAACGGTCTATGTTAATTGGGTTAAAAAAATACTTTCTATCTTGTGTTTTCAAATTTTTTTTTTTTTGTGATTGTTCATTAGAATAAAAAGAGTGTATATTTCAAAATTTGAATCAAACAAGTAGCCATAAGATAGTTTTTTAAGGTTGTTGATCATATTACTATACAACGGTTGCATGAAAATCATTGCCCGCACTTAAATACATAGGTATCTATCCACATATTATATCCATATTTAAGACTAGATTAAAAGACATTGGTGAGATGTTAAATAGCTGGACTCTTAAATGTGATTTGCTAATTTTTCCCCTTCTAAGCGGTGTTTGGAAAAACCCCAATCCAGATATGGAATTGCCAATCCTAATCGTGTTATCTGAACCCCACACCTCTTTTTGGAATGGTCGACAATATTATTTATTTATTTTTGCCAATTTTTTACTAGTTTAGCTGATCCCGACTGCCGATTCAGCCTATCCATATCAGCACAGTGGAGGGTAGGTCCATCCCAATAATCTAGGTTTCTAAACACTGCTTTTAATAATAGGAGCTGGATCGTGGTGGTATTACTCTCACATATAGTTACCGAGTTGTGGTTTTCAAAAAATATTAACTCTGTAATTTATTTGAAAAAACAGGTAGGGTCTGTCTTACTCACTGAATTACCTAAAAAAAACAATGGTTTCTACGGGCTTGGCAATAAATAAATTTTTTAAATATAATTTGATCTTAATTTTAAGAGGATATATAATCTTTAACATGGAGATCGTGGTGGTATTACTCTCACATATAGTTACCGAGTTGTGGTTTTCAAAAAATATTAACTCTGTAATTTATTTGAAAAAACAGGTAGGGTCTGTCTTACTCACTGAATTACCTAAAAAAAACAATGGTTTCTACGGGCTTGGCAATAAATAAATTTTTTAAATATAATTTGATCTTAATTTTAAGAGGATATATAATCTTTAACATGGAAATCATGAACATGACAATAAAATAAAATTGAAAACTATAAATAATAATTATATTAAAAAAATATTTGGACAGTTAGGTACAATTGTTTTTAGATAGACCACCTATTTGCACCCATCGTAAAGATGAATGCATTAGACCTTTAGACTGTATATCCAGCCCGCATGAAACAATTTTTTTAAAAAAAGGGTTTTGAAAACTCCCCCACAAAAGAATAGGGTATTATAGGGATGGAGTTCAGGGTGTAGCATTCTTTTATTTTATTTTGTGTCTCTCTGTGTTGGTGTGTTCCTGTTTCCCTAGTTTGGATGGTTTCTGACGTCTTATGGCTTGCTGTTGGTGTGGAGGTTTGCGGAGTGTGTGGGTTAAGGGAAAGGGGAAAACACTTTCTTCAAAGTGGCTTTTGAGTTGGGTAACATCCATCACTTTTCCACATTATACTCAACACTCTCTCTCTCTTTACTCAAATGAGGCAATACTTAGTTTTATCATGCCATAGATTTCTTAATTTTATTTATTTTTGGGTAAATCAGTGGAGATCACAATAGTTTTATCATTGTATAGATTTTTTTTATTGTTTTTTCTGGATAAATCAATGGAGATGACGAGCCCTTACCTGTTTTATTGCTAAATAAAGAAAAATATTACAAATACAATCATCAAACATCCTTTTGTAATGGTACATCAGAAATATCACATTGCTTTTCTTTTTCTTGCTTTACTTTTGTTTTTCCTTTTTTTTTGGGTAAATGTTTTTGTTTTAGGGTTTGTACAGGTGCACTATTAGTTATATTTTTTATTTCTTTTTTTTTTTTGACATGTTAATATTGAGAATGGAGGGTAGGATGTTATGTCGAGGCATCATCCCCCTAACCACCAATGCCCAGCCCCATTCCCACGTCAATTGTATTAACATGGTGGAAATCTAGCACAGGTGAGATACACCTCATGTCATATAATACAGAAAAAGATTTTTTCAACCTTTTGATATCCATTTAGATATCACTGGATATGCTCTATCTAGGTCTAACTAAGATTTATATTTCCCATCTTTCATGAATTAATATTTCTATTTTTTGGGTTACCATTTTGTATCAGAGGATATTATTTTGGAGCTTTGATATCATATGTTCTAGTGCCCATTGAAAGGTATGGTGAGGATATTCCTTGCTCATTGATATTTTTCAGGAAAGCAGCCCCTGAAAATTTGTCTAACTCACTTTTTGTAATTTTTTATCTCCAGCCTAATTCATTGCTTGTGAATAAATAACATGAGACCTGATGTATCTTCGTGAATATTATCATTGGGGATTTTAAGTAGGAAAGCATATACCATAAACCTCATGGACAATATGAAATACATGAAGTGATCGCCGTCCAAATAACAGGTCCGAAGGTGATGATGAGAGACGTAGTTGCCTCTCTATCGTCATATGTTTACTTCAATGGTGATCACACACGTTTTACTATAGATTTGCTATGGCCATGAGGATCATAAAGCACTTTACCATTTATGTGATCTTCAACTCGGTGGTGTTGTTTATATAAGATGGCAACTTTTTCGGTAGAAGTACAATTGTGATGTTGTACGCTGTCTATTTTAGTTGGACGATATAAATTTGACACATTCTTTAAGATAATATATATATGAGCAATTATCAATACAACGGTTGTATCGTAGTATAATGCAACAACATTTCTAAAAAACCATGTTTGTGGTATTTGTATGATCCTAAATTTTGCACACACATTCTCTTCATCTCAATAATCAATCCCCCCAAAAGAAAATGTTCAATTTGAACTCTAGATATGGTCAAAATGAGTCCCCACCAAAAACGAATCTAGACCATTCATTTCGTGAATTTCAAGTTCTTAGCCTTTATAAAATCAAAATCATTTTTTTTTCTTTTTAACATTGTTCATCTAATGATAATAAAGCCATCCAAAAAAATTGAAAATGAAAAAATTCTTCTAAGGCTTAGATCTAAGCATCTCACAAAAATGAACGGTTTATGTTAATTGGGCTAAAATAATACTTTCTAGGTCGTGTTTTTTTTTTTTGTGATTGAACATTAGAATGAAAAGAGTGTATATTTCAAAATTTGGATAAAACAAATGGCCATAAGATGATTTTTTAATGTTATTGCATCATATTACTATACAACAGTTGCATGAAATCATTGCCCTATATATATATATAGAGGAAAATTCTGGGATTAGCCCACTAGCTCATATGAATATATAAGCTCAATGGCTCAGATTCAATTTGGGCCGTTTTGACCATCATGGATATCTGGTAGTGTTTGAATTTTATTTATTTATCCACAAATTCAAATAACTTGAAATTTTAGGATTGTGTTTATAAAAAAGGTGAATCTTCGAAAAATATCAAAAAAATATAATAGGTGAATATTAAAAAAATATCAAAAAAAATATTTTACATGAAATAAATTGATCAAAATACCCCAAAAAGTTTTGGGGGTTATTTTGATCATTTTATTTTTTACGAATAATTTTTTTATATTTTTATTAGGTGCCTCTTGATGAGAATAATACATACCTAAAATTTCAAGTGATTTGAATTTGTAAAAAAAAAAAAAGTCAAACACTGCCGAACATCTGTGATCGTCAGATCGGCCCAGATTCAATATGTATCGTTGGGATCGTATATTCATATGAGCTAGTAGGCTAATCCCAGCTTTTTCCATATATATATATATAAACCTTTCACTAATTAGGTTACTTACAAACTAAATGATAGATCTAAAAAAAGTAAAAAGAAAAAATAAAAGGATATTAAACCCAAAAAGTTGATATGGTAACACTTTTTGGGGTAGTCTATTTCAAGTTTCACATATATGTTAGACATGCAACATTTTCAAAACTTCAAGTTCTAGAGTAGGAAAGTATTTGAAATGCTATCATTAAGCTTTTTAGCTCTCAAACTACATTTTTCATAGGGATATTTAAGTGTGGCTAGGCTGTGTAAGGTTTTTTTTTTTTTTTTTGGGTAATTCAGTGAGGATGACGAACCCCTACTTATTTTTAAAATTGTTAATGGTTTTTGAAAATATTAGGTGAGAATAAAAACATAGACTTTAGTTAAGCACAAATGCTGCTACCACCGCAATCCCAACCCCATTATCAATTTTTTTTTTTTTTTTTTAAGTGTGGCCATACTAAATTTTGCAAGGCTATGGTTATAGGGTAACCACACCCTTCTTTATATGCGATCATATTGTGCGCTTGTCGATGCATAACCTCAGTATGCAAAAAAATGGTAGGTTAGTTTGTTTAAGGGAAAAGTCTGTATACAGTTGCATCCTTATCTGAATAGCTAAGGATGCAGCATTGTCAACCATCCAAAATATTGGACAGTTCAGATTAAACATTGAGTTTCACTCAACAACATTGTCAACTAGAAGCACCCGGTTTCCTCAAACTCTCCCATCGTGTCTGTCATCTCTCTCTACTCTCTCTCTCTCCCCCTTCTCCACCACTCGCCATTCTCTCTCTTCCCCCTTCTCCACCCCTCACCATTCTCTTTCTATCGCCCCACTTCTACACCCTTTCATTTTTCACTTACATCCTCTCACTCTTGCTGGCTTGCTTTCATGGAGCAAGAAACTAAACACATATAAAAAGCAAAGAAAAACAGAGAATAACAAATAATGGGTTTCTCTCACTCTGTCTCAGACCAAACCTGTAATAAAAGAACCGCTACTCCCACCATTTTGGCAAGAACACTCTAATTATGGGGAAAATTAAGTTGATAGTGACAATTGCTCCTGTTGTTTGCAAGAGGGATTTTATGAGCTGTAACAATGGGAAAGGTCATAACAGATGGGTTAGGTTTAAGGGGGAAGGAAAATTGGGAGAGTGAGAGGGTGAGGAGAGAGAGTGGGACTCCATTCTCTTCTCTGTCTCGTCAGCTCACTAGAACACGAACCGCCAAAACGCAAGAAACAAGGGTCCTCCTCGCTTCTGTAAGTGTTCCTCTCTATCGGATTCCAACTAATTTTCTTTCTTCAATGTACTGCGAGACTATTAAAAGATGCAAACCACCCATCTCTATCTCCCGATTGCTAACATCTTCGAGGGAAGTTCGCCCGAAAGGTAATTTGTCGGCAAGCTCGCCTAATGGCAGCTCCAAAAAACCATTTCAGATGAGGAAATTCTCAAACCCCTCTTTTTCTCTCTAGTCACCTCTTCCTCCCATCCAATCACAGAGGGAAGGAAACCCAGGAATTGGTACGTACTGGTGTTCCCCTTGCCTCCGTGCGCAATCTTAACTCTATAGCTATGGATGCCCAAACCGCACCCTTTGTCTAATTGTTTTATCTTTTTTAGGCAAACTTCAAGGGTTTGAATTGTTGAGGTTTGAATTGCTGACCCACTTCCATTAGCAACAGGGATTCCTCTAACTATGAAATTTGAAACTCCCGGGGTCTATAAATTCTTGAAATAAATGTTTTAGAGAAAATGTCGATCTATAAATTCTTGAAATAAATGTTTTAGAGAAAATGTCGATCTATAAATTCTTGAAATAAATGTTTTAGAGAAAATGTCGATCTATATTCATGCAAGCTTACCTAATGGCAGCTCAAATGGTGGCTTGTGCTTCTTCATGTATATATATATATATATATATATATCAGGATTATATACAAGATCATTTTTCTTTGGACACGGTTTCTAGGGCAGCCCGCATATTGTAAAAATGCGGGCTTGGCAATAAATATATCTTTTAAATATAATTTGATCCTAATTCTTAGAGAGTATATAATCTGTAACATGGAGATCATGAATATGGAAAAAAAATAAAAATTGAAAACTGAAAATAATAATTATATTAAGAAAACATTTAGACTGTTAATTATACTTATTTTTAGATGGACCACCTATCTGCATCCATCTTTCAGATGGATGCTTTATACCTTTGGACTGCATAGTGTAGAAATGCGGTCCAACCCGCATGTAACAATTTTCCTTCAACTTTTGTACAAGGTCACAATCACCTTCAACCATGAGGTGTAAAAACTAACACTTTGATGGTCATTAAGTTGTGTATTGAAGAAAAAACAAAGGCCCAAACATGCTTATTTTCTCATGTACTCACGGATGCATGCCATGTACAACACTCCTGAACACAGATATGTCTTGCTTCCATGGCTCAGATAGTGTAAATATCCCTACCTAGTCTAAGTTCCAAATCTAGAATTTTTAAGGCAATTTGCTTGAAATGCAAATAAAAACAATGCAATATTATGGGAATTTCCGGTGAATCTTTAGTCGAACATCATTATTGTCAAAGTTTTTTTCCTAACTAATTGGGTCCAGCTACATGAACCTCAATCGAACATATCAGCCAATAATAGCTGCTCAAAGTGATCTAGAATCCTAAATCACCCAGACACCTAACATTTTGTTTCATCACATTCTTCTATCATTTCTCATCCCACTAAGAAGGGCTTACACACACACGCGCACAGAGAGAGAGAGAGAGACATCAAAAACAATTGGTGTAAAGAAGTTGCAAGAACATGGTGAGCGAACAATTTCAAATCAATTCTCAATCACATCCATTTCTGAGAGAGCTTCCTTCAAAATCTTTTCGAGCTCCTTCACTCTACGCGTAGCCAGTGCAACACAGTTCTGCATAAATGCCATAAATGGCTCCGCATCATCAGCAAAAAACAACAAACAACTCTCCCATTAACGACAAATGGCTGCTTATGACAACTAGTAGCTCGAACGAAGTATCGGTTTCATGGACAAGGCTATACAAGAGTAGTGTTTGGAAATTTAAAATTTAAAAATGGTACAGATGGGACAAATCTAAACACATGAAAATATTGAAAATAGACGGTTTAGATCACTTGTTACAAGACACTATTTTTAAGGACTTAGAATTCATTTTTTCTTTTTTCTTTTTTTTATATCCATACAAAGATGACCAATTAGAGTGTTTTCTAACATCAAAACAGTTTCTAGGGGATTTTTGAGGTGCACCTTATTTCAATATATAAGATTGATACCTTATATAAACTTTTTTCTTATATGAATACTTTTTATTAAGTGGTAAGTGAGACAACTGTCTCTCACTCTCAGAGAAGGAAGGCTATATGATCTAACCTTAGTGGTGGATGTGTAAGCAAGGACCGGACCACCAGGCTTGTAGAGAGAGATAAGATGACCAGAAGTATCCAACACAACGGTGAGGAGCGATGGCATGATGGATTCCTCCTCATCAGTTGGATCAACCAATAGATACTGCTTATGCAGTAAGCATGTCAAAGAGAAAGGGATGCTACCGAGTGTAAGCTTTCTCTTCTCAGTGTTTGAATTATTAGTATTGCCATTGTTATCGGTGTTAGTTTCGGCCTGACCTTGAGAAGACACTACTCTCCCTTCTTCATTGAGACAAACTGGAGGGATTTCCACTGCATGGGAACATGAACCATTTGGGGAGTAAGAAAGGAAAACCAAAAGATGGAGGATCTCTCTCTCTCTCTCTCACATGGTGAAGACAGAAATGCTAAGAAAGTCGTATCTTACAGTGAGCAATGGCAGCAACTGCAGAAAGCAATGCAGCATCAAAAAGAGCACCATCCGCATCTAGACAGTAAATTTCCTGCATTTCTCACAAAATATCTTCTATAACCAAATGAACACTATAACCCGTCCACTTCAAATATAAATAGTATGTACAAAATTCATTTAAAAAAATAGTTTTATTTTCTGGATAAATAAAAAAGGGAATCTTGGTTTGATTAGAAAAAACTACTGAACCATTTCCATCAAAGGTACTATCTTAGGAAAACAATACAGAAGTAGCATTCCATTACCAAGTAGACCATCCATGCAGCCTTGCCACTGGCTATAGACAATTCCTTCAAATCGATAAGCTTTGAACTGCACTGGCCAAACATTTCAGTTCATAGAATTATCATGGCATTAAAAGTGTGATCTATAAAGTCAAAGAGTAGCCTATTGTTTTCTGACACATGACCGAAAAGTATTACACAAGGTATATTGTCTGGTATACACCCTGCCATAAGGGTCATCAACCATCCCTTTCCAGAGATGGATGGTGGAAATTAATTTTACCCATATGAACACTCCAGTAAGCCATAGTGGAATGAATGGTTGATGTCCTAAGGGGTCAGGTGTCACAAAAAAAAAATTGGACTTCAGTGAGACAAGTTTCCAAGCACTTGAGAGAAAAGAAGACCACTGAAAACTGTGAAACAAAGTAAGCATCAAATTTAACAGGAGAAAGAAAGGGAACCAAAAAATGTGTAATAGTAAATCATGCACATTTTTCCTTGATTCTTATACAGCATGGAATATGATATAAGATCAAATAGATGTGGTGGTTTGTTTGCAAACTACAAGACCATTCAAATTAGTTACCACCAATTCTATCATATTAGATGACTCAAGTGATAGTGGTTCTCTATTAGTGAGCCTCAGTTCAAACCCTCGTGTGACAACTTCAACCTATGGTTTATTCTTCATTTCGCCCAGGACAAATTCAAAAACCAGGAGAACAATCCCGAAGTTCACGAGTTCAACCCTCACAATCCACATTAGGAAAACTAAACGACAAAAGCCATACTTAAACATTAGAAATATAAATAGATAAGTACAATGAAAATAATGTGTAAGACCTTGAAATTAGATCAGAAGAAGTTGAAATTTTTTTATCAGAGAACCAAGATAAACAATCACTTGTACATAGGCAAAACTGTCATATGTGGCTATCATGTGAAACATGTTTAAAAGAATGTCGCATCCTTTGTTACGGGCAGCAATGTATGTATGTATGTGTGTGTGTGTGTCTGCGGCCAGGCTCTGGGCCCGCATATCCATTGATGAGTTTTCGAAGTCACAGGAGCCCAGGCATCGTGCTGCACCCCAAGCACCTTGTAATATCCTTCACGACAATCCCTTTACATCATTGGGAAATCAGGAGTCACCCCTTGATGTGGCTACCTGTAATGTGGTTCAGGCATCAATGAAGAAATCTTTTTGTGATCAACAAGGGACATTAAGTGAGACAATACCGTTCATTGCGTGGAATATTTTGGTGACTGAATTGGAAAGCCTTGGTTAGACTTCGGGTTATATTCAAACTAAGTTTATCAATTTCATCGCATATTATAGAATCCAAGAGCTTTCAAGCTGGATGGAATCAGATATCACAAATCACAGTGGAAAGATTCAGTTATGTAGCTTGGGATTGCTCGAGTATTGTGGGGTTCGTAGAATTCCATTTTCAGTAAACAGTGCTCTTAACAGCAAATGGGGCTCTCTTGAGAAACACGACTTCCATTAGAATAACTGGTAAATTCAAGCGTTATTTCAAGATTTGTTAGTAGACAATCAATCCCCCACTTGTAATTGGTCTCCTTGCACACTATTGGGGGCCTTCGGGGTATAATCTCATCTCCACTATCCAAGAGAATGAGAGCTAACAACTGAAGTGTAAGTCACATGACAAGAAAATTATTTTTCTGCTTTAGGAGTCATTATAGCTTCGCAGGAGAGGCCATTGTGGAGCCAGGGTCCATCACAATCATGGCATAAGCAGAGATTAAGACGCAATTCTGGTAGACAAAAACCTAGATGAGGCTTCAACATAATACTTGTTGAGAAGCAAAGACTGTTTTAAGAGAGAGTTGATAGTTGTGAAACATTCCGTGACTAGAGGATGTCAAGTCCAATGAGGCTAAAACTATCAGGATGATACTAGTACTTAATGGGCAGCTTGTCAATATGCGCTACTTATGCTTTGATTTAGGGGATAGTATGCAGTGAGCAGCTTATTAGATTGCCTTGTTCCCCTAAAATAATCTACTGCTCTTGTACATAGGCTAAAACATTTTGTGACGAAAAGAAGTATATAGGAATGGACTCTAAAGTATAGATTGTTAGGGCGTTGGGTGCCACAACATGACATTTTGGGTTCCATTCCTACCATGGGTTGGGGACCCTTTCCCCACTGAACTACCATGTGATCTTCACAAGTATGCATTAACTTGCCTAGTCAACTTTGAAGCTGTATGTCTCTTCTATGCCTTCATAATGAAATTTTGGTTACTTTGCAGTGCACCCCATGCCAATACAAACTATCAGACTAATGAGCTGAGAAACCGAAGCACTTGGCATAAGCAACCAAAACAATCATGCCATCCAACTATTTGTTGGATTAAAAGATGGCCTGATGATTGATTTATCAAAAATCTGCATGAAGTTTAAAATATTTTACTCGTACAATGGAGACTAAGGAGTGACAACAATGCTTGAATGTAACCACACAAAATGGATCAAGAAACAAAAAGATGTCGAATTAAGTTTTGTTTTCCCATTTGATGGGTAAAGACTTCATATCCGATCCCAACTGTTCTACTACGTACACTATCTTAAGATGCTTCCATTTATAAAACCAAAACTTGGAAGATACTCACTAGATGAAATAAATTCTCCTTCAGGGCCTTCCAAAACTTAATTCCATAAAACGAAAGGTATATCTGAATGACAGAGTATTACTTGCAGTGGATGGAAATGGCAGATCACCTACATACCTCATGATAACATTGTTCAATTGCTGAGATATAACAGGAGCTGCCTCGGCAGGTCTACCAGGTCTAACCATTGGAGAACAAATAGGAGGCATATGGAAATCAATTGCTGCAGAGAGAGAGAGAGAGAGAGAGAGAGAGAGACCCACAATCAAACCTAAGAATGGATCCCAAATGCAAAACCCAAATAGAAATTCCTCAAAACATTTAAAATGTATATAAAAAAAAAAAGGAGCCAAAAAAAAATTGAGATGAAATGAAATACAAACCTATGCAGCCTTCGTCAGGGGAGTCCGATGAAGGAAACATGATTTCAAGTTTGATTCCAGAGAGCATGGTCTGACACAAACCACAACCCATTATTACTCACTTTTGAAATCCATTGAACCGTAATATCCAAAAGGAATTTGGGGAACCCCGAACTCAAAAAACCTAAGCAAACAAAATGTATTCTTCTCTAAATCAGCAGAAACTTAAATTCAAAAGAAACCCATGTAAAGAATTCAAACACTAAGAACATCATCATAGAGAGAGAGACCCACGTAACCAATTCAAAGACAGAACGTGAGAGAGAGAGAGAGAAGAGAGGTAGAGAGAGATGAATAAAGTAACGTACAGTATTTCCAATCTTGACCATGGCTGAGGCATCAGCAGAAGGGAGAGGGGCAGGAACAATGGAAGTGGGTCTGGCTTTGTTGAGGGGGCGGGCGTCGGGTCTCACTGAGTCCGACAGATGGCGCTCGTAGAATTGGAGGGGGAACAATCGCCTGTAAGCTTCAACCTCCATCTCCCCTTCCAACTCCTCTGACTTCCCCTCCATCTCTCTCTTCCAAAAACTCCCTCTCTCTCTCTCTCTCTCTCAGAACTACCTTCTCTCTCTCTCTCTCTACTAAACCTACCTCTCTCTCTCTCTCTCTCTCTTCCAAAAACTCCCTCTCTCTTTCTCTCTATCTCTTCAAATTTCAGAGCTGCGAAGAGACTGGAGATTGGAGTTTCATGCCAAATGCTTGCGGCGGGAAACTGAGAGAGAGGGTTTGTAGACTTATTTTGCCAGTCTGGCGCAGCAGTAATTAAGGGTGCGGCGTAAAGTTGCATCCTAAAAAAATCGAATTAAGGCGCACCTCAAAATTTTATCTTAAATGTAATTTTGATATAAAAAATTATTAAGATGGCATGAGAATCTATTTTTCTATCGGGCTACAAAATGTTAAACTCTAAAAATACTTCAAATCAAGTACATTTATAAACAAATGAAATTTTTTGAAAATAGACGGTCTAGGTAATATGTTGCAAGATACACTCTTATGTAGAGTTAAAATCTTTCTTTCTTTTCATATTCATATATTTTGAGGTCTAGATGATCAATTAGAGCGTTTTCCAACATGCAAACAATCTTTTATTTTAGATTTTTGATGTGCACCTTTGATTCTACAATTTAAGGTTGCCACCTTATATAAACTTTTTCCAATTGATAATAAGCGGAAAAAATAAGTCCTCTCCCCCCCTCTTTCTCTCTATTGTGATCACCTAATTCTGTATATCTTTTGAGAGTTTTAACAAATTTCAGTTATTTATATAGATTGGCCTAGTGTTTAGAAACCCATTTATCTAGATTGACAGTCGTCAATCTAAATTAGGAATTAGTTGTGGACAAATCGGTTCCTAGCGACTAGGAATCGGTTTGGTTTACGCCGACTCGCTTGGTCGACCAATCAAATCATAGCACCGAGCAATCTTGATCAATTGGGTTGCTCAATTCCCAAGCAATGTACTTTTTTTATTACTTTTTCAGTTCATTTTTTCTGACATCAAGGAGAATCAACCAACTCGTCATTCAGTACGATCATTTGCCCATCCAGACCAAATTTTCAAATGACCGATTTGCCAAGCCGATCAAACTTTTAAAACACTAATTTGAGTTGTATTTATTACATTGATCAAGCTCAAAGTCCAAAAAACATGCCCCTCAAACTTTGTGACACACCCAAGCTATCAAATTTCATATTGGATGGTCATAAGTAATTAAACACAATGATGTGGGTGGAAGCATGCACGTGCGACATGACACATTAATGGATTATGCATGAGGAGAGAAAATGCATGCATGAAGAACACAATGATGGGGGTGGAAGTATGCATGTGTCACATGGCACTCAATGGATTATGCATGAGGAGAGAGATGCATATATGAGAAACACAATGTTGGGAGTAGAAACATGCATGTACCACATGACACTCAAGTGATTATACTTGAGGAGAGTGAATGCATGCATGAGAAACACAATGATTGGGATAAAAGCATGCATATGCCACATGGCACTCAAGTGATTATACATGAGAAGAGAGAAGACACGAATGAAGAACATAATGATAGGGGTGGAAGCATGCATGTGCCATATGGCACTTAAGTGGTTATGTATGAGGAGAGAGAGTGCATGCGTGTGAGTGTGGGTACATGCTTACTAAAATTCTGTTAAAGGGTATTATGATTCCCAAAATTATGGTCCTTATTTGAGAGGCTATTAGGGTACCTTAAACCTTGCCTTAGACCATGAATTTGGATGGGTCAATAAAATGTTGAATGTATTTCTACATGGATAAAACCCCTTGTTAATATCTCATGAAATTTGAAAACTATTAACTATTTGTTGAAGCATGTAAGATCTATGAACCGAAAATCCAAAGATTTGACATGTTTTTGTGTGAAGCTTTTGACTAACCAAAATTTAATAGAATGAGATGAAACTATTTTGAAATGTTAGATAAATGAGTCTAGATGAATTTTAGTATTGGGACCATGATTGACTCTCTATAGTTTGAGAGTTATGGTCGTTTTACTAGTAGAATGTCTTATGTATTTTATGCTGCATAGAACAGAGAGAGGACATGCGTGAGGAACACAATGATAGAGGTGAAAGCATGCATGCCACATAACACTTAAGTGATTATGCATGAGGAGAGAGTGTGCATGTGTGTGAGAGTGTGGGTACATGCTTACTAAAATTCTGTGAAAGGGTATTTTGATTCCCAAAATTATGGTCCTTGTTTGAGAAACTATTAAGGTACCTTAAACTTTACCTTAGACCATGAATTTGGGTGGGCCAGTAAAATGTTGAATGTATTCCCACATGGAAAAGACCCCTTATTAATTTCTCATGAAATTTGAAAGCTATTAACTACTTGTTGAAGCATGTAAGATCTATGAGGATTTGACATGTTTTTGTGTGAAGCTTTTGACTAACCAAAATTTACTAGAATGAGATGAAACTACTTTGAAATGTTAGATAAATAAGTCTAGATGAATTTTGGTATTGGGATCATGGTTAACTCTCTATAGTCAAAGAGTTATGGTCGTTTTTCAAGTAGAAGGTCTTTTGTAGTTTCTGTTGTATAGAACAGAAGTTACCCCCAAAAGAATCATATTGTTGTTCAACCTCAGTCCATTTTCTGGTATTACTTCCTAAATGAAAGTTGTGTATTTATGAGTTAAAAGTTTTCACAAAGCTATGCCTCATAAGTAAATTCCACATATTCTGAATGTTAGGGCCTTTTCACTAGAGGGTTGTCTGTTGTGGTTTTTGCTGTAGGGCAGAAAGTTCACTCCTTGAGGATCAAGTAAATCGACCCATTCAGGTCGATAATTTCATGTTTCTTCTTGAACAAAAGTTATATAATTTTAAGCCTATTTTATCTGGGAACAAGTCCCATAATTTAATGTTGGGTAGTTTAAAGTTATATCAAAATAAGCGCATTGTGGTTAATTTGGAAATCCAAAAAATTTAGCAGGATTGGACCCTTCTCTTGTCCCATATTGATATAGTGCATGTGCATAAGTGAGATGCCACTTGTTATACCTGACACCTCTCTGAGACGATACTTATTATGTATGACGTGCTTCTGATATGATTTGTGTACATAAGAAGCGAGTCTCTTGTCAATTAGGTGATATGCATCTTGATAAGAATATATATGTAACATGCCACAAATTATTCATGATATGCCTCTATTATGTGATCTGTGTATGGCAATATGTTTTTAATATGATTCTTATATAACACTTGTGGCATGCTTTTGATAAAATATGTGTGCATGGAGACACGCTTCTGTTATATGATTTATGCATAGTAACATGCTTTTGATAAGATATGTGTGCATGGAGATATGCTTCTGTTATATGATCTATGCATGGTAACATGCTTCTGATAAGATATGTGCGCATGGAGACATGTTTCTGTTATATGATCTATGCATGGTAACATGTTTCTGATAAGATATATGTACATAGAGACATGCTTATGTTATTTGATCTATGCATGTTAACTGGTTTCTGATAAGATATATGGTATGGAGACTTGTTTCTGTTATGATCTGATGAGATATTTGTTCCGGCAGTTGTGAATTTTGCTTGCTATCTATGATAAGATGGGAGTTAGGAGTGTGTGTGTTTGGGTGGTTGCTCTTCCAAAACTTATGTGAGGCACTACTCATTGGGGCCCCTTTAGTAGTGTAGCGCCCTCTCGCCAGAAGGGCACATGAGAGGGTCGTGTCTTGTAAGGCCAGTGCCTATCAATTTACTACATTGCAATGGGTTTGTGTATGTGTGTGAGGCTATATGCAGAGGATTTACCCGTGGGTGCTGCTTTTCTCTTAGCTGTGATGATAGAGGCTCTACACATCAGGATTTGATTGGCCCGATGGGTGGGGCTTCTATTTCAAGAGTTAGTTGGTATCTTTTGATCTTGATTATGCTTGTTATATGCATGCCTAAATATTTTGAATTGTTATGATGCTCATGCCTAAATGTTTTGATCTGTTGTGATGCTCATGCCTGAATGATTTGATCAACTTCTTATTACAATCATATTTGATTAATTTGATTAGTTATTACTACACCATGAAATAAATCATGCATGACACGATTGTTTAAATATGAATTTGACACATGATTTCATGTTTTGTAAGACTTGCATAAAACCCTAATTATTGTCATGTAAGCATAAAAGCTTAACACTTAAATCGTATTTATTGGGTTTTACAACTCACTCTGTTAATTTTTCCTTCACGTAGAGTGATAGCCAGCCATGATTAGAGTGATGTGTCCTGGTGGTCATATTTGGGGTCTCTTACCCCCCTTTTGTTGAAGCTCTATTTCGCGGGGTGTATTTTGGTTGCTAGTCTGGCTGTATAGTCAATTTTGATTTGGTAATACGTCTTGATGTTGGGTCTTTTGTGCCTTGGACCTATATGTACTTTTTTGGACTGTTATATGTATTTTTGATACTTGTTTGTCCAGTAGACTATGGTTATGTATCTTGTGTTTTGTTTTTCGTTTCTTTTGTGGCTCGCTTGATACCGGAAATTCCTTCTTTTTCAACGTGTTGAGCCCACTCTAACCAAAGTGGCACTTGTAACTTGTGATTGTAACCCCATACCCTACGGTCTGCCAGCGGGGCCAGGCCTGGCCCTCTGTCCGACAGGGACGGCAGGGAGCCAAGTTGTGACAAGTAATTCTATATATAGGGTTTTGCTAGGGTACTCACACTATAGAGTAATTTATCATTGTAAACACATTTGAACACATATATACTCTTTTTGTACATGAAGTTTTACTCACACTATAGAGTATTTATCATTGTACTCAACAAATTTGAACACATATATACCCTTTTTGTACATGGAGTGTTTTTACTATATATATATATATATATATATATATATATATATAGTGGTGTTCGTACTATAGTATCACACTAACAATAACAAGTAAGACGCACCTACCTACTTAATTATACTAACTATAGTTAGTTTAGTTAGTTAACTAATTA